CACACACACACACACACACACACACACACACACACACACACACACACACACATTTATATTTATATTTATTTAATATCTATATTTTAACGTTACAGACAGACATGGACAGGGGTAAAACATTATAGTCTCCCTCCTTCAATGATAGACCATAAATTAACACTGATAATACTGAGGGTTTTTTTAGAGTTCTTGTTCTTCGAAGCAGACGTCAGGATGTTGCACACACACACACACACAAACACGTGCACGTAGACACACTGCTGAGAAATCTGGATGACATAATGACTGATCGAACTTATGTTGTGAAAGATTAAAATCCACACAAAGCAACACATCTGCAGCAAGATAAAAATACTCTTTTTTTTTTTGCTTAAAGCAGAAAAAAATGTGACAGATGAGGTATTTGTTTTCCATTTCCTCATACCAAAACTAAATCTAGATGAACATCCGAGGAAATCTGCTGTCTGGGGGTTACGTGTCCAGTGATGACAGCTGCTCAGTCTCCAAAAGCGGAGAGATTACAGATTAGGTGTGAGTCTCCCTTCAGATTATAAATTCAGGCACTGCTGCTCTCATTTAACCATTACAATTATTTAAATCTGCATTTGCTGATTATTATTATTATTATTTTTACAGCAGTGGCACTTTAAACCCTCTTGCAGCCACAGAAGCAACAAAAACAGCAGGAGCCGACCTAAAGCTGACGGTTTCTGAGGAAGAAAAAGAGCAAATATAATCTGTGGGATTTACCCAGCATTTAATAATTACTTTCAGTGTATTTTTTTCTGTGTGAAATAAATGTTTTAGACATTAGACACATATTTCCATAAGTGATGCCTCTGTTGATAGGATCTCTGGATGATTATGTTTAATGAGTGCATTTTCCATTGTTGGAAGTAAAAAAGCAGCTTTTGTTAAAGTTACTGCTGCTGTCAAAGTTTAGGCAGAATTCATGCAAATGTTTATTTTCTAAAGATGAAAGAAACCTTTAGGCAACAGATAAAATAAAAATCAGCTGGAAGGACTGCTCGCCACCTTTCATGCTGAAGTTTTAAACTAAGATCATCATGTTGAGAAGTAATGACAGGATAAAGTGAGACGTCGTTCTCAGATTGTGACTCTGAGCTACTACCTCGATTTTTAGCTCAGTATCTGTAAAACTGACCATTTTTGTGACCAGATTGATTAATTAGTTGAAAATATACATTTAATGATAACATATTAAAAGTTTCATTGAGCTCCATTCAATGGTTCATGAAATATTTTGTTAACAGACACACAAACAGATTTTATGTTAACAGGGCAAAATCTATTTCTAGCTCTTCATCATCATCTGACTGTGACGATGTTCCAGTGATCACATCTCTGATTAATCAGCTCTGAATCAGTGATCAGATTATTAATCAGATGTACAGCAGTTACTTTGATTTGGCATCGATTCTGAGTCTGAACTGGAACTGAACAGTTGGTAACAGAGATCCTCAAAAGAGACGATGAACAGACAATCTGTAAATTTAAACTTTACAAAAAGTATTACATTAAGCAAGCCCTTTGTTACTTTTTACATATATTTTACTGCTCTAGAATTTGCAGCTAGTCTTCTACATTTAGCTTTTATGTAGTATTTAGGTATTTTGTCAAGTTTTTTTTACCAACTGTTTTGCTATTTTTACATTTTAGCTGATTCACTACTTTTACTGTGTGTTTTGCTACATTTTATCAGCTGGAATGTGGCTGCTTTTAGCTTTACGCTGGCTTTTTGCTACTTCAAGTTATTTGCTACTCTAACAAGAATAGAATAGAATAGAATAGAATAGAGACAGGCTTTATTGCTCCGCAGTGGGGAAATTCA